GGTGGAGGCTTCTCCGCCCGGGGGGAGTTTCCGAGACGCGATGGGGTGCAGTGGAAATAAGGAAGCGAGACCTTTCCCTCACGGCGGTGGTCGGTGGGGGCCGGGGGCCTTACTTCGGAGGACCTTCTCCTTGAGGAGGAGAGGGGTTTGTGTGTGACACTATCAGGAGCTGGGCTGTCTGAATGCAGGGATTGCCCTCCCTGCATGGACGGAGGAGGGAATGGGAATTTCGATTTCTCTTTTCGAGGCAGGATCGGCTAACCTTAGTTGGGGGCTGAGGAGAAGGAAGGCAGTAGCACCACTCCCACGGAGGGACAGCCCAGTCCCTGGGACAGAAAATGCCATTTACAGTATAGAGTAGTTAAAACTGTGCGGCAGGGACATGGGACATTACATGCATCCAGTCCTGGGTATAGGCTGGACTGATGTTAGCAAGGCTAATTCATCAGCTGTGCCCCACACAGCAACTGCTGTCAGCTGAGCAAACCCAGCTCCTGCTGTTGAAAATGAGCTAACATGGGTTTGAAAACTGTCTTAACGCATAGGGGCAAAAAAAAAAAGCCATAAAGGTTATGGAAGTCTCTATGTGATCGAGTTGTGCTCAGTAGGGACTGAGAGGAGTGCTGGGGTAGGTGACTGTGAGTCATGGTTAATGGTGGAAGTTGGGTTTCACTTGAGACGTTTCAAGGGAGGAGCGAGTATATGCTTGTCATGGGATGGAAGAGCTGTGGAGGTGGCAGGGTGAGCTACTTAATATCAGAAGTAAATGCTTCAGGTGAGTAACTGAGGAAGTTATTTCAAAATAAACTGCTTTGAAATGCTGTTTCAGTGCAGTTGATGTACATAGGTGATGTCATGTTTTACCTGGTTGTTCTGATCTCTGATGAGAAGTGTACTTGAATGAACAACCTTAAGGTATTTTCCTGTGTGGTAAATGACCTAACCTGTGGCTCAGTGCAGTGCACTTATTTCTGCTGAAAGGGACAGTGACCTAGGTTTTAAAGCAAAGAAATAGAAATACAGACAGCAGTTTTAGTGTTACCAGTAGGTACCCTAATAGATATCCTAGATGTATAGGCACAGCTGTTAACTTTTAGTAACCTGCTTGTGATGTTTCTTGGATAACAGATACCTCAGCAGACCTGTTAATGTCTCCAGGTATCTGTCAGAGCTCTAAGATGCATGGCTGAACTTTGGAGGAAAAAACCCACCAGTTCTGGAATAATTCATATACTTGAAATATTAAAGAAGCCTCAAGTACCTCATAATTTTTAGCTTTATGTCCTTCACTTAACTGTTAAGCATCTTAGTACTTGCTGCATCTTCCTCTTGGGATATCAAAAGACAGCATGAAAGAAGCCTATAAAGCTTCCTACTTCCATTTCGTTAGAGAAAACTGATATTATTTGGAAGGTTTCATCAACAGTATTTTAAGAGTGTGTTTTTTTATTTTTTCAGCACATGCTTTATTCTCTGTCAGTAACAATTTAATGCAGTCACTCTAAGTCACTATGAAGGCTTGTTCTACTCTCTTAGAGCTTTTAGCTTAAGCAGGACTTGAACTTTTCAAAAAGAAAAGCTTCTCTTGCTGTCTGGAGTATTCTTTCCCCAAAAGTCAGATGACGGCACTCTCGGGAAGCCCAGAATTGCTCACATGATCCAGGGCTGGAAAGCTGCTCTGTAAAGGAGTTGCGTGAGCAATTTAAACCCGGGATCATGCTGTGGCTTGAAAGGGCAGCCCTGCCTGCTGGTTTGTACCTGGGCATGGTCAGCCAAGCCAGTTTGCTCCTACACAGTTAATTTGTTCTTCAGTGGCTTTTGTTGTTTTTTCAGATGGGGAGGTTCCAGACAGGCCAGTAGACCGCAGTTCCATTTCACGGGGTTGTTGAGGACGCTGGGTGTGTGAGTGAAAGTAGCTGACAGAAAAAGACTCTCAGTTCCTTCTGGGAGATGTTTCATTTGTGGTATTTATCAGTCTGAAGTAGGTTTGATGTTAAATGCAGCCGGTTTGGGATCTTGAAATTGTTTATTATGGCCTTATATTTTAGAACCCAGATGATAAGCGGCATTATAACTGTAAAGCAGTAGGTCTCCTAGGTCTCCTTCTTGTGTGAATTTCAAGGGCTTACTTAAATAACATTTTCCAAGTTTTAATATCGCTAACGGGGAAACACAGCACTTCAAACCAGAGAGCAGAATGCTATGATGAAGGGATTGATGCTGTTTGTGATCCCTTAACTTGTGCTGCAGAGCACCTGTTTAATTTGAAGTTTGCTGCAAAGGAACTCAACAGAAACTCAAAAAAATGCGACAAAGAAGAAAAGGCTGAGAAAGCTAAAATTAAGAAGGTAAGCAGTGAGTCTGAAACAAGCTCTCTAGATCTGTTGTTTACATATTATAGCAGGAAAGTACCTGGTGGTTTTACCATTTTCCTGGTGCGCATACTAATAATGTTGTGATTGATGCTTGTGATTTAAAATATAGGACTTTAAATCTTCCCATCCTTATTAATAGATGTGAGGATGCATCCTTGTGTATCCTCTTGTACAGCCTATGGCATTTGCTTCCTGAGAAGATTGTCTCATATATATTTTGTTAGATACTGTTGCTCTCAAAGTTAAAAATATTTGATCTTAATGCTTATGTTGTATTAAAAGGGCTTATGAAGAGGAACTTTAGGATAGTTTTTAAGTCCTTGAGGTTGTAAAGAGAGAGACCAAATTCATTTGACTGTATTTTTGTCCATGAGATGCAACCATACCAACTGTATCTGTGTTTGGGTCTTGATACTGAAAATGCTTTTAGGAGTGATAAAATTATGCTTCTGTAGCTCTGTAAAACCTTCTACTTTAAGTGCATACCAGATCCCTTCCTTGGAAAGACGTTAGGGGTTCACATCTTGAAAAAGTATGAGAAGTATTGGGGGAGGAAGGGTTTATTTTCTCTTTTAATAGAAAAGATACTGTGATGCATTGATGCCTATTTCAAAAGTGAAATAAGCTGTTCAGAAATCATGTTTACTAGAGCAGGGAAGGTTATGATTTTTTTGTTAGGTTTTTTTTCTTTTCTTTTTAACAGGCAATTCAGAAAGGTAACATGGAAGTCGCACGAATACATGCTGAAAACGCAATCCGCCAGAAGAATCAAGCCATCAATTTCTTGCGCATGAGTGCCAGGGTAGACGCTGTAGCAGCGAGAGTTCAGACTGCAGTGACAATGGGCAAGGTAAGTCTGGTTTCACAAATCTCTTGTAAGGATGAGACCTCTGATCTTCTTAGAAGTGATTTAATTCTGTCTGTAATGAGCTGAAAAGTTTCTGGTTTGGTTTCAGATGTAGCCAATAGTAAATCAGGTACTGGAATCCCCCTGGCAGCTGCTGTTTAGAAACAGATTGCTATTCACTGTGTTTTGTAGCTGGTATCTTAACGTTAGCTGTTATTACTGATGGTCCTTAGAACGAGACCTCTGATCTTCTTAGAAGTGATTTAATTCTGTCTGTAATGAGCTGAAAAGTTTCTGGTTTGGTTTCAGATGTAGCCAATAGTAAATCAGGTACTGGAATCCCCCTGGCAGCTGCTGTTTAGAAACAGATTGCTATTCACTGTGTTTTGTAGCTGGTATCTTAACGTTAGCTGTTATTACTGATGGTCCTTAGAACGCAGTGTGTGTAAATCAGGTACTGGAATCCCCCTGGCAGCTCCTGTTTAGAAGCAGATTGCTATTCACTGTGTTTTGCAGCTGGTAACTTCTGTTAGCTGTTATTACTGATGGTCCTTAGAATGCAGTGTGTTTTACTGGTTACACTTAAGATTATTTTTCAGAGCTATTGCTCTCTTTCCAAACATGTGAAGTTATGACACAGGACTTGTGATTCCAGAAATCTCATTTTTCAGAGCTATTGCTCTCTTTCCAAACACGTGAAGTTATGACACGTGAAGTTAGGACTTGTGATTCCAGAAATCTTTTCTAGCTCAGATAGTTTAAGGTACGCTTCTGTACAGCTTTTCAGCCAGAGAGTTTATTCTGCCATGTGATCTGTATACCAGATTTATCCCTTAACATTTGACAGGTCTCGACAAAAAAGTTAATGCCATATACACCTCACTTTTTACTGGATTTCAGCTCAGAATGCATATTTCAAGTGGTTGAGTTTATTTATAGAATTTGAAATGGTAGGAGCCAGAAAAAGTGGCGTTCTAGATGGCAATAATGTGTGCCCTGCTATTTGGTACTGTGGAAACTCTGTGGCTAGAGATAAAAGAGCTTGGTAAGAAACTGGTTATTTTTCTTTCTTTGCTATAATTTCATTTACCTCATTTCAGGTAACAAAGTCGATGGCAGGGGTAGTTAAGTCTATGGATGCCACGCTGAAGAGCATGAATTTGGAAAAGGTAAATGAACGCTTACTTTTCTTGGAGATGCGTAGGAAAAGCAGAAAGGGCAATGGACACAAGTTTTAAAAAGGGAAATTCCAATCAAGAGAAAAGGTTTTTCAGTGAGGTTGGTAGATCCTGAAACAGGTTGCCCGGTGTGGTTATGAAGTCCCCATAAATGGAGATGCTCAGAACTTGACTGGACGAGGCCCCAACCAACCTGCTTGAACTACAGTGTCAGATCAGCTGCACAGTTGATGCTGGGAGGAGAACAAGCTTCTAATCTCCAGAAGCTGCTTACCCTTGTAGTGTGATTCTGGTTTTGCTAGTTTAGATTTATTTCTCTTCGGTTGTCTGCAGATCACTGATTTGATTCTTATTTTTTTATAGATATCTGCACTAATGGATAAATTTGAGCATCAGTTTGAAACACTAGATGTTCAGACACAACAGATGGAAGACACAATGAGCAACACTACTACGCTAACAACGCCACAAGTAAGAATAGTATTTTTTCTTTTTAAAATGTGGTCTTAAATTACATGTCTAAACTGCATGGAAATGTCTGATTCTCTTTCTGTGAGAAACTCTTTCTGAGGCTTAACAGCAACTGGAGCCTTTTCACTTTTGCTTTGTGCCTCTTTGTGACAAAGAGACTACTTCAAGTTATAGTCACAAGTAAAGAGAATCTGCATAAATGTATTTTAGTCTATTTCAGTCTTATAGGAGGCTTTATTTTATAGTATGTCTTAAACTTTAATCCTCCTACTGAATCAGCAACGTTTTGATGAGTTGTCAATGAACTTCTGAACCAGGAGACGTTGCAGCATTAATTATCAAAGCAGAATATGCTGTGAGAAAATCAATAGTTCTGACTCACAGATATTAACAAAATTGCATTAGTCACCACCAACTTCTCAAAGAGAGAAATTGACTGAGTAGTGCTTTGGAAATAAAATAAACAAACCCAATAAACCCCAAATCCAGTAAACCGAGTCTACTGGAGATCAGCGTTTTTTCCTTGTGCAAAGCAGTGTTAGTAGCTAATAATCAACATTTGAAACATTCAAGTATATGTTTGGGGTTTTTTTTACAGGTAAGTCTAATTCTTTAGAAGCATAGTTTCAGAAGCTGGTCTTCAATTAATGGGGCTTAAACAAGCTGAGTTTGAGTTTAAATACGCTTATTTTTGAGTTCATGCAGAGCCCCCTTGTGGCTAAGCACAAAAATGGTCTGTAAAAGGCTTTTACCTTAACACCAGTTTTAAAAAAATAATTTCTGTTCTCTTAAGGTTTTACAGAAGAGGTTATAATAAACTGTAATATGCTGCCAAAATGGTCTGTAAAAGGCTTTTACCTTAACATCAGTTTTAAAAATAGAATTTCTGTTCTCTTAAGATTTTACAGACGCGGTTGTAATAAACTGTAATATGCAGCAATCAGTTTTCTTTTCTTTACTCTAGAACCAAGTGGATATGCTTCTACAGGAAATGGCAGATGAAGCAGGGTAGGTAAAATTTTGAGTGACTATTTCTTGAATAAATCTTGGTTTTAGCAACCATTCCTGGTTAACTTGAGTGTCAGATACCCGTGTTTTTAATGTCTGTCTCTTGGAAGCAGAGAAAAATCACCAGATTTCTTTCAGCTCTGAACATCCTTCTCGTAATAGTTTAGTTGCCAGTATTTCATTCTGTTTTCACTCAAAGCTACTGTGAATGTCAAGATGCCAGGGTGGCTGTGCAAAAGCCTAAAATTATGTGTCACTTGTCATATCAGGATAGTGTTTTAATATTTCCTTGGATTTGCTTCAGTATTAGCAATTCTAGCCATGTTTCTCCACACTTTGCCTCTTTTTTCCACTCTTACCACATTTAAAACTTCCTGTAGTCCTGCTCTCCCAAGCTAGACATTGCAAAACAGGTCGTCATGACATATTTAAGCTTTTGGGGACATACTGAAATACTTCAGAGAATTTTATTTGCCTTGTTGCTGACACGAGTGGCAAGTGTTGCTCTGTTGGTTTGAGGATAAATACTTTTGACAAAGTTTTAGTAAAACGTTTTTATGAGTTAATCTTTTGTCGTTCATGCGTATGCCATGTCTGATATACCCCTGTTAAACTGCAATCTTGCTCAGTCCTGATTAAGCAGAATTCATTTAGCTATTGCTAGTTGTAATTTATGACTTGTCTTGGTAACGAGTCAAATTTACTGACCAAGTTGTCGAACTAGCTGGAGAGCAGAGTTAATGGGATGCTGGTGGCCTCGTGCTATCTGAGTATTCCTCTGCTTGCCAATTATTGTTCTTCTTGCTTTAGCCATGTATGCCTTACTTGGTTGGTTTGTTTGTTTGTTTTCTCCTATTAGTCTTGATCTGAACATGGAACTACCTCAAGGACAGACAGGTTCTGTTGGCACAAGCGTTGCCTCAGCAGAACAGGTAAACATTAGATTCAATTGAATTAATGCTTTCTAGAGAAATGTGAGAATTAATGCTTCACTGTCAAAACAGGCTTGCTAAATTGTAATTAGATTTTAGCTGTCCAAAAAAGTACTGTATAGGTAAAACAATCTTGCAATCAAAATAATTCTATCATTATATTTGTCTGCTTAGCAAATCCAGAAGTTTAGATGTTTCAGGTGTATTTTTGCATGGTTATTTCACAAGTCCCAAACAGTAACTCCCCTGTCTACTCCAAATTTAATGAGTTCAGCCATCTCCCATAGCATACACAAGGGCTTTGGGGGTTTTTTTCCTCCTTTAATGTGTAAAAGATCTTATGGGATTAGTCCAAAAGATCCCACATTTGCTTTAGATGGATAACTTAGAATTTCTTGTACATGAGCAGATCCTGATGTCAAGGCTGCACAGATATTTTGGCGAGTTTCTTTTCCTGTTCTAGGGTACTATATTTGAGGGAATGGAAAGAGAGCAGTTTATTTGTGGAGAGGGCTTTAGGGAACCTCATCTTAACTGAACGATGTTTGGGAAGCCCCAGGTACTCTGCATTTTCTGAGAAGTTCAGTTTCACCTTGTACCAAGCCCTCTGAAACACACAGACCTACTGCTATCTTCTTGTAGCAGTTCTGCTGGATACCAGCCTTGGTCTGTCAAGGCTGCATCCAAATAAGGATTAAGCTCTGTAAGAGCTGTTTTACGCTTGCCAAGATGATACATAAAAAAACATCCCCACCCTATCTCTAGCTGCTGTGTTCCAGAACTCCTTCCTAGGTGTCTGCTGCTGGAGATCAGACTGCTGTGTGGACCTCTAGTCTCACCTGGTACAGCCATTCTTGAGGTCTTAAGCAAATCTTGTTAAAACTTGCACAGGAGATAATTTCGTGTCATCCAAACACAAGATTGCTTGACCATTGCAGACCTTTGCAAAAATTAATTTTTGTGTTACTGATAGCTGCTTTCTTTGTGTTTTACAATTCTGCAGGATGAGCTGTCACAGAGACTGGCCCGCCTACGTGATCAAGTTTAAGCTGCAGTTCTTTGTTTCTTTCAAAGTACCCTTTCTGTAACTAACCTGTCACTACCCTAGAAAGATGGATACAGTATGGCTTAGATGTCTGAATACTTGTAACATAGGTTACTTCACTCCTAGCTTGCTGCTCTTTCTAAATACATTAAGTAACCCAAAAATATCAGCTCTCTAATGTCCTTTTCTGTACATTTTGAAGTTGATATATTTTTTGCAAGCTTTTTTTCACAATCAAGTGGATATTCTAAGTCAGCTAGTGATGTTGGCCCATTCTAGCTGAAAGAAAAGCAGAGCATCATTGATATATATATAGATATATTTTAAATTATGAAGTGATTTTTTTAAATTATGAGAACTGTTCATGGTTGGAGAACTGATGTGTTCAGTTCAGACTTTCTTACACAGCCAAACTCCTGGAGCACAAAGGTGAACAGTGTGGACTTCATAGAAAATACGCTTGTTAAAACAAATGAGTGGACTTCAGTATGAGTTTTCTAAAGCTAGGATAATTGTGCTGAAATCAGTGCTTTAGTTCCAAAATGAGTTACCAAAAGCTGTTTTCATGTAATTGGGAAACTTGTACGGTGTCATCACTTTAGTACAGGAGGAATAAAATATTTTTTTCAGCTCTTTGTCAGTTCTGTTGAGTGTTGCAGCTTACTCTTGTTTAATGTTGAGTACTGTAGCTTCTCCATTTTGCTTGCTTCTCAGTGTCCTGGGGTGCAGCTGGTTATGCCACTCACACCTCTAGTCTACCAACGTGACAGGTAGTTCCTGTGAAAAGGGGACTTGTGCTATCCATTTTCACAAATTCAAGCTGGAGTAACTAAAGCCTGCTTTCTTCATTCCTTCTTACCCTGCCTTTGCTTTTAATCTCATCACTTTTTTAATACATAAGGTCAAGTCTTGTGATCATATTCCACACTCGAGTGTTTTTCCATATATGAAAAATGCAGAAGTGCTCTTCCTCAGGTTCTGATCTCCTCATTCCTCCTTGTGAATCAAGGTCCCGATGCTTGTGTCTTTAACCAGGGCACTCCCTTACATCAGGTTTTCCTCCTCTGCCCCTCAGAGCAGGTGAGAAGTGGATCAGTAGTGTAGGCCAGCTTGGTCAAAGGGGGTTACATTGGATAAAGAACAGCTGCTTTAATTTGTAAGGTGTAATATCTGCAGATAAAATAATATAATTTGTATTATTGCAGTCATATGGAGAAGCCTGTGTGTTCTAGTGATCCCTTTCTATTTCTGCATAGTAGGAGGCTCTACTGGCTGCTTTCAGTAGCTTTAGCCTCTGGCTGCAGTTGTGAACTAAGGAAAAGGTGGTAGAAATTCGTAGCTGAAGACTAGTGATGTGTTGTGATAAGCAGTGTTAAATTCCTGTGTTAAAATTACCTTTCTGACTTTTTGGGCTTGTTTTTTTTTGTTTTATCTTTGTAGGGCTGAGGGAAGGTGTGAAGCAAAAATGAGGAAACATTTCAGAGCAGTTTCAAACTATATTTTGAATGCGTTATTCGAATTTCTTTGAAGGTTTAACAGGATGTTACATACTGAAGTGTTCAAGGCTATTGTAGAAATTAGATAAGGAAAATAAGATAGACAAAACAACGTAAAATGTTGTGGAATTCTCTCTCGCACTGGCAGCCTAAACTAAAATGCTTAAAATGTGGTCTTCACAATTGTTTACATTTATTTTCAATGCAGCTTTCTTTTAAACACCTTGAATGTTCCCCTTATAAATAGGAGAAATTGGAAGGTGTTTAAAATCTGCATACTCGCAACTGTAGATCTGGTAGAATCCTTTCAGGTTATTAATGAAACATCTTAGGAGAGGGTTTCTCTGCAACTTTTTTCCTCTCACTAGCTCCTTCTGAACAATGTAACAAAAACATAATGGTAAATCTATGCAACCAGGGTTACCCACAGCTGTGGTGACTGCTTGTCTGTGTGCCTTTGCCTTGCTGAACTTGTTTTATTAGGTATTTAGTTACTTGATGTTTGATGATAAGATTGGAAGGTTACTGTTGTGTGATAAATCCACATTGGATTTTACTTTGCGGTTGCTTGTTGATGGAGCTGTACCAGAAGCTGCTGAGGTTTTCAGTGTTTGATACTGGACAGCTCTAGCTACCTTGTCTGGCTAGTTGTAGTGTTAAAGATTATGCTGCTTTTAGACTCTTCCTGGCCCTTCTTGAACTATTTGAAGGGCATAGACAGCAGTTCTGAGATCCTGTGTATTTGATTTTCTGTCTTTATTGCCTTGCTGTGAGCCGTGGGGCTTTAGATGAGTTAAAAAACAAAGGGTTATGAGATTGATTAGATTGCTGCAAGGTAAATGTTAAATAAGCTTCACTGTCTTTCTGGCTAGACCCAGCCTGTTTTGTGTTTTGATCTTATCCCAGGCTTGCTGACTCCAGTACCAGAATGGTTTCCAGTATCATTTTTTAAAAAAGATTAACAAGTAAACATAAATGCTTGATTGACGTAATTAAGATTACCTCTGTGGGCCTATGATGCAAAGAGGTAGGCAGGCTTAGCTGACTTGAGGAAGAAACGTGTGTTTGAAACAAGGAATTTTTTCCCCTGCTGACTTCACGCAGAATTGCTGTGTGTGTCAGCAGGGCCAGGATTTTGCACTGGTTGCTGCTGTGTACAGATCTCCTGCCCTCTCCTGGGGAAAACTGTTTCTTCTCTCTTTAGAAGCACTTGTGTGTGAGAGCTGGCATTCAGAAGGTTTTAACAGTTACGCTTTTAATGTGTGAGTTTTCTCAAGTCTTTTGGAAATGCTTAAACCTGGAAGTTGTTCTTTGGGCGATATTTGAGTTTCATATCCTTTCTCCGTTCAGGCTCTCCTCAAAACGCTTGCTCTTTTCTGAACAACTCTGGCTCCCCACTCCTATGTTGCTCGTGTTTCTTTTGAGTTGACTGTGTTTGTAGAAGTTCATTTCATGTGAAATAAATTGTATGTGCTTTTACGTAACCTTATTACCAGATAATATTTCAGTATAGACACTTCGAACGGCAAACATTGCTTGAAATGTTGCTCAACGTTTTCTCCTTGGTTACTAAAACTGCTGCTGTCTGGTAGCATCAGTCTTCATTCATCTGAATTCCGAAACTGAAAGCCATGAAGAGCTTCAGGTGAAAGGAGAGGGAAGGAGAGGAAGATCAAGAGGTTGAACTTTTGTGATTGCAATGAGATAAAATGATCAAGTTGTCTTTGTGGAGATCCTCAGAGCCAAAAAATAGTGACATTTTGTTAAATATAATCAGGAATTGTGTACAGAAATAAATTCTGAAGCTGGTGACGTGTATAGAGAAGAATAATTTTTGTAGCTCTGCTAGAGTTCGTTTTGAAAACTGCTTTACTTGTGTGGGACACTTTGTAAATGTAACTGCAAGTGGTAAATAAAATTGTACAGACAAATGATTTCAGATGTGTTCCTACCTTATGCGGCTGTTTGCTGGTGGGGTTCAGTACGTGGATAAAAAAGCAGATGTCACAATGTCATCAATATTTTCCTGTGAGAAGATAGAAGATTGAATGTGGTAAGAAAGTGAGTACTGTTGAGAGATTTGGGACAATAGGGATTATTTAAGATGAGTGATAGCAACGTGAATGTGAAATTTTAAATACATTTTTCTTTTAGTGTTTAAGCTGATACAGAGGTCCAAATGTTAAACATCTGAGAGGGTTTTCTGTCCTGACCATATATAACAAGGGGGCATGTGGAAAACTAGCAGGAGATGGTGTGGGGTTTGAGTTTGTCTTCCCCAGATCTAAAACCCTTCTGCCTTTATTTTCCCCTCCTGTTGTTGTTCAGGAACCAGCAGAGGGAGCCTCCAGCTTTGTTTTTGAGTAGGTCCTACATAAATTGTTGTTTTTCCTGGATTCTTAAAGGACTTTCAGAGTCCTCCCTGGTTGGTTTAAGGAGCTGTCTCTCCTGTGAACCTGTTTCTGGACAGTACCAAAGCTTGGTAGGAAGTGCCTGTATTGGGGCTTTGATCCTCACCTGAAAACTGTTGTGTTGCACAAAATGCAACTGTTGGGCGTTAATTTGGGACTTGGAAATCTGCTGTTAGGAGTGTGATAATGAACAACTTTGTGCTTAAAACTTGTACATTGTTTAATTGTTAAGTTCTCTTGGGTTGCTTTAGCTGTTGTGGTTTGGTTTTTGGTTTGGTTTTGCTTTCCTGTCCTGATAATTCTACAGGAGGAAACACACACTGTGTGCTGATGGAAAATGTATTTCAGTAGAAAATATCATTTTCTTGTTAGAAATATTGTCCTGGTTGAGATTTCATTTGCTGCGGTATTCACTCTGGTTTCAGGATTCTCTGTGCCTATGTAGTGCACTGCATTATTTGGCTTTCGCGTTAGCATTCATCTAGTGCCAAGGCCTGGTTTGAGGTACAGGCAATGTGCTGCTCAGGGCTTGTTTGGTTTGGGTTTTTTTTTCCAAACAGTATTTTTTCAATGAAATCCCAAGAAGGGTCAGTGGCCTTGCTTGTATCGGAAGCAGCTCTCTTCATTACCATTCAAATAAAGGAAAAGACGGACGTGAACAATCTGTAACTAATTTCAAGTGCCAATTGAGCTTTTTTGACTTGGAAGAAGATGCAGTAAGTGAGACTTACAGGCTTTCATGTGACCTCTGCTACTGTTTATTAAGAAAGGCGTGCTGTATCAGCTGGGATACGCAGTTCAAGACAGAAAACCAATGGGCCAGAGGATCCCGGTGCTTTCCAGTGACTTCCAATGTTACCCATTGCTGTGAGGAGCAGCCAGAACCAGACCATCTCTCAGCTTTCAAGCTCTTACCTAAACAATGGTGATTTCAGAGGATAAAAATACTTAGGTATTGTATATTTTAAAACTAAAAGATCATTTATTGTTACAACAGCCTGCACATACTGCTTAGGATATTTTAAATGTGTTAACTCCGAGTGAAGCAATCTTTTTGCAAAAGTACAAAGCAATAAATGTTACATACCAACAAATATAAGCATCTGACAAGATAATAATCAGCTTCATATAATTTTCCAACTATCCGATTGATAATTCCTTATTGCAATCAGTTTCTGTCAGAATGAGCTGTCAGGGGTAATAAAACCTTTCAAAACTTCATTTGAAGACACAGATTTGTTTTTTTTTTAACTCTATTTCAAATATAATCCTGTAGTCTCTATACAAGATACTTCACTTTGTTTTCGTCAGGATTTTGTTTCTTGTCTCACTGCAAAACAGATCAATGTTGGAACCATTAAGCTCTATTTCTGGTGACTTTTCAGTTCCAGGTACCGGTGTGAAGCCCTGACATTTGACTTGAAATACGTAGAAGAGGCAGG